AAAGCTGCCAGAGCGAAAGTCAGCGGGAGAGACCCAGCTCTTCCTTTGTCCAGACTGGAAAGTTCGAAGTCAGAGAGCTCAAGGTCAAAGGACTTCAAAGGCTGAGAAGTGAGACCGCCCCAGCATCCTCCCCACAATGAGCTCCTGGTGCAAACCACTCAGAGTCTTCCCCTCGGTAGGCAGCACATGAGAATCTGGTTGTAAGGGGTTTGGGACGATGGCCTGGAAGGAGGGCGGGTGCAGATCCGTAGGGAGGAACAACCTGCAAACACTGCTGTGAGGCAGAGTGGTAAAGGGGGCAATGACAAGAGCTCAGAGAGTGGGATTTTCAGTTTAGTGGTGTTCCCGAAGGCCATGAGAGAAAGGCCCTTCGGCGTTTATTATGAGGTTCCTTAACGGATGGGAAGGTGGTCAGGGTTGGGAATGTGTGGTCACCCCTGCAGGGGCAGGGCTGAATGGCAGCGGTTCTTCCATGGCCTCTGGTCTCGGTCCGGTCATTCTGTCCTGAGCAGTGGCGCCGCAGCCCCAAACAGGAATGGGCCTCGTTGGTGTCACATTGGGCAGGAACTTCCCACACGCTCCTTTCAGCTTACCGCGCAAGGGTGACTATCAAATGACACCCTCTGCTCCGGGGAATACTTATCTGTGACCTGATATTAGTGCAGTAAGGTGGAAACTGAGGTCCACTCCTGCCCCCTTCCCTCACCTTTGCTCCCTCTACATTTGCCATAATTAGGTAAAACAGTATATCCACAGTGTCTTAATGGCTGGTGAGAGGGCAGGGTCATAGCCGTATGTCAACGGGAAAGGCAGTTTCTGGTTGTGGCCACAAGGGTCCAGCCCCAGCCCTGTCCTGTCCCACATGCTTTTTGAGGACTGGGATGAAGGGACGGGCATGCCCATCATATTCAAAGACCCAGACCTGAAAGGTGTTGCTCACTTGGTAGATAATGAAACTGTATTTGAAAAGTATTCCCTTTGGGTGGGGTGATGGGCCAAAAACAGCTGGATAAAAGTGAACCAGATAAAATTTATGTTAAAAAAATTCAGTCTCACAACTACAGGATGGCATTTGAACCCTTCACTGTCATTCAAGTTTCTAGGGTTGTAGTCAACTACAAGCTCAATATCAGCAAAAGCAGGATGCGATCTTTTTCTTTTTTAAAAAAAGCAACACTAGGCTGCAGTGACAAAGGTGACATGGGCAGAAGACAGAGGGGCGTGGCACTGCTTTCTGTGTTGTTCTGCACCACGTAGAGTCTCAGTGCTAAGCCCCCACATTTTATCAGGAACTTGAAAAGTCTAGAGAAAATTCGAAGCGGTAACCGGGGCAGCTGGAAGCCGAGTCAGCTGAGAGTGAAATAGATGGAGACGCCGCCTCCTAAGGAGGCTCGATAACCCTCATGAGATATACTTGTTTGTCTTCCGGAGCGAGTGGACATTTCTGGATTGTTCCAGACAGAGCTAGAACAAACGCGGAGAAGATGTGGGGAGGGTCTTCCTACTGAAGCGTAGTCTAACAGCAGTAACTTCCCAGCAGTGGAATATGTCCCCTCAAGGAACAGGGCATTCCCTGGAAATGCTCAGGAGCTGAGCGGCCGAGGCTAATGGAGGGTAGTTTCCTGCACTGGGTCCCATCATCTCTTCCAACTGGAATCCTCTGGTGCGTTCAGTATCTGTTCAGTGGAGCCCGCTGCAGTTCGTTCCGTGGTCTATAAATAAGCTGTGGGAAAGAAGGCTGGGTCGCGTGGGGGGAATTTGCTGAGGCTGGAGGAGAGGGATCTAAGAGTCAGATTAGACACTCGCTGCCTTGAGGGTGAAAAAGCCAGATGATGACACACTCAAAGCCAGGGAAACTGTCAAGGAGCAGAATTACTGCCTTCACATGTCATTCTTCCCTTTTGGAGGTTTCTAGTGTTTTGCCTTTTTTTTTTTTTAACCTATCGCTGCTGCAGCGGCTGAGCTCTAACAGCAGGGCTCTCCCCCGTGTGCCTAAAGGGAGGTCAGCGAGCCGAGCCCCGCCAGGGTGACCATGGGCACAGGCGCCCTGGCCCTGCATTGGAAAAAGATTGGCCTGTCATTATTCTCATCCAGAAAAGGTGTTTTATTGAAAGCAGAAAAGATGGCAAAGCCAGCTGCAGACTTCAGGTCGTCAAGTTGCCACCCAAAGCATCTCTCCTGGCCGGGAGCAGAACTTGCCCCCGGAGGCCTTAGACAGAAGTGGGGTGGGGGGAGACTGCCCTCCTGGGGCCCCTCCTCCTGGGCCCTGCCTTGAGGACTCACCTTCAGCCCAACTCAGGGCAAGGGAAGTGCTCTCCAGACTCATGTTCTCACCAGCTGTCCTGAGGATCAACCCAATTCAAAACACTCTCCTCTCTCCAGGGCTTCACCAGGGCCACTTTCAACTCATCATGGGATTGCATAATTATGGCGGTTATAGCTTATGGCCTTTTTGCTCTCCTCATCTTTTGCTTTCAAATTCTTTGAGGCCTCTCATTAAACATGGTGATCCCAGTAAAGTCAGTAAAGTTTTAATAAGACATTTTTTAAAGATAAAGAAAACCCAGAGTTTATTATTACTGTATTTTCTCAAACACTCCTTTAAAATGTTGTCAGGCACGATTGGTTCCTGGACGTAGGAGGTAGGGGAGAGAGGTTTGGGCATCACAGCATTAGAGGACCTTTCACCCTCCCCTGGCCCTCCTCATTGGCACCAAGAGAAAGGTGCCTCTGAACCCCCATGCCGAGTGGGGAAAGACAGACCATCAAGCAAGGACGGAGGCCGGGCCTTCCCATCGCTGCAGATTTGGTTGGCAGATGGAGCAGCCAGTGAAACACTCGGCCCAACCTTGTAAGCAGCAGCAGAACCAGTGGGGAGGTGCTGGGGGGAGGTTTCCTTGGTAATGAACGCACAGCTGCAGAGCCCGTCACCTGCAAGCCCTTAACCACAGTGTTCCTGATCACCAGGAAGAGGTGCAGGTGGGGTGGTGGCCACCGGAGAGCCCCCAACCTGCCCTTCAGCTGCTTCGCTCAGGTTTGGTGTCAGGATCCCCTTCGTTTCCCTCTCGCCCAGGAGCCCACGAGGATGCAGGGCGAGGTGGAGAGGTGCGTCTTGGCCCAGCAGGAGTCTGTTTAGAGAGGCCCCAATGGGCCACCTTGGCTGCCTGGCGTGAGCCACCCAGACTTCCCTAAATCTGTCAGTAGCCAGCCATGTGGGGTATGACTGAGCACCACCAACCAGCCAGGGCTAATTTTGTCAAAAACCTGGCAGCCACCTTTTCCCCCAACGGCATTCTCGTCCCCTACTGAAGATGACCTCCCGGCTTTGCCCACTGCGAGCAGCACCCCTTTCTCGCCCACTGGAGTGTAGGGCAGCGAGCTGAGTTAGACGGGCGACCCCAGCTGAAAACTACTTCTCCACCTGGCACTGAAGCAAGGCCGTGGCAAGCTGCTCACTTGCCCAGTGGGTATAAGGAAGCGTGCTGCACCGAGTGGCGCTGGCATTAACCGAGGGCGTGGCAGCAGTGGCTCCCACGTCTTCGGGGCTCATCATCTTACGCTGTGGGGGTCTGCATCATGCTGGGCACTGCCCGAGCGGAACTTGGGCTCTACTCCAGCTCTGCCACTTGTCTGGGTGACATCAGCAGCTCCATTGTCTCTGCTGTAAAGGAGAGCTAAGGGTAGATGGGGAAATACATAAGGTGCTTAGCACTGTGTTTGTAGTGTGTGTGCTCCAGCATAGTTCTTCCTATTATTATTTTTGTTATTATGGTTATCTGCAGCCTGTGCTTAGCTCTTATTACCGTATTTAATTTCCAACAGTATTCTGCAAGGTAGGTATCATTATATTTACTTTGTAGTTAAGGATGGGTAGGTGGGTATGTCGTGTATGACAGTGTGTACAAAGCGCATTTGCCTATCACGGTGAAGTGCTCAGTGACCTGGTCAATAAATCCTGGCTATTGTTTTTAAGGTTGGCTTATTTTTAAGGTTGACCCAGAGAGCCAGTTCCTCTGCTTTCCCTGGGAACAGAGAGACTGTGGAGCCCAGCAGGCCAGCTTCTGCCCCACGGTCAATTCCACGGGTCCCCTGGCTGTGGGCGCTGTGGGGCTCATAGCTGTGTGGTGGCAGGAGGTGGTGAGAGCGACTGGGAACGTGGCGGACATTGTCAGGACGGGGCACGTGCCCCCACACTGAGGTGGAGGACACTAAGACACCTCCGGCTTCCAGACACAGATCAGGAGTAGTTCTCCGCATGATAGGAGCTTGAGGTCCAACCTTCCGGAGGCTGTGCTCAGCACCGCGGAAGCCTCGTTCCCAAGACCATCTCCTTGCGCTGTCTGCCTGCCTGGATCCGCCCTGAGCAATAGGCCTCACCTGGCCCCTCACTGGCTCCATCTGCCAGATAGACAAAGGCTTCTGTTTTTAACCACCATCAGGTGGGGCTGCCAGCGGAGCCAGGAGCAGGTGGCAGAGGATACTCTGAGATCTTAGTAAGCCAGACCCCTGGGGTGCACGCTCCTGTTGCTTGTAGTATTGACAGAAACAGAAGCTGAGAGGTCATTTCCATGGACACAAATGGCTTTTTCCTTGGGGGAGTTCAGTGTTTATATATGTATCTTAAGGTAAATGCTTTAAGGTCGCAGTGTTTGTCACAGATTGGCACCTTAGGAGCCCAGTGTTAAAGCTCTACAGCCAATCACGTGGTTGCTTATGCACCTTGCATGAGATGCTGACGTACACGGCTGTGGCATAAATGTGCACACGGATATGTGCACCGCTTCACACACCGGTGCCTGTGCTGCCTGCCAGATAGACGCCTCCATGTTCAGTGTACGGTACGTGTGTGGCATGCGCTGCAGACCTGCATGTGTGCCCTGTGCATGGATCGCATGCCCTTGTGCGTGTCTGGGCAGGGGCTCCCCTACAGCCACAGGTCTTCATGGTTTCAGCTGGATAAGTTATTCTTCACTTCCCTTCCTAAAAACACAATTGCCTAGTGCTGCTGGCGCAGAGTCAGAATGGCCGCTGCATTTCACCCCCGAGGTGGCTTCCTTCCAGCAGTGGGTGAGTGACCCCGGCGTCCGCACTCTCTAACCTTCCTCGGGATCCTTCTGCACAGAAGGGGCTCCGGAATTGCGAAGAGGTGATCTGTTTGTCCGCGGCCTCGTCTGCACCCTCCACTCCTGTTTTCACACCCTCCTCCCACGGACAGCAGGAGGCACCGTTGTTTGGTGTCTGCATTTTTCCTGCCCATTTTCTGCACCCACAGTAGTTTCTTCCTAAGAAACAAGGAGCAGAGGGGTCCAGCAATGACACTGGATCCCTTGTCCCAGAGACAATGCACAAATGACGTCATTAGGTACTGATCCTTTAACTCACTTCTCCCGGGCCCCCAGCAGAACAGGACAGAAATGCCCACCACATGTGAAGGTGTTTTTAAACCCAGCGGCAGCAGCCTTAGGCTTCATCCCCTGACACGGCATCTGTGACCCCCTCCTCCGTGGCCTACAGCCCAGTCCTGAGGGAAACGTGGCCATCTCAGTCTGGATAGTCCGTTCCAGGAGGAGTCGGGCAGCTCTGCCTGCCCCTTCGTAGGGGACAGGGCTGGCCAGCCACCCACCCACTGTCCCACAGGGACCAAAAGCATCGCAGCGGCACATGAAAAGGGTCTGTAGGGAGATAAGGTTCTCTGTGGCTAGGAATTCCCTCGGCCTGAGTTTCTATCCAGAGAGCTCAGCCTGCCCCCTGCCGCACTTTCTCGGGTCAGAAAACGTGTCTGGTTATTGCCTGCCAAACTGCATCCCTGCTGGGAGAGAGGAAAGGGAAATGAGCCCACCCTCTTTGCATCTGTGTCCAAATGGACATGGACTTTCATGGGGAGATTATGCATCTGGGAGGTGGGGGCGGTCAGCATGTTGACGGTCTGTGGCTCCAATGCTCTGCCTTGGCGGCTGGCTGGACCAAAGTCCCCAGCCAATGGGCATGTTTGGAGTGACCGTGTCTGCAGGAGATGAGAAGTGCCCTGGGGAGGGCAGGTAGAGTCCCTGTGGGTCCTCGGGAGGATCACAAGCTGCCAAGCAAGCGCTTCCTCCTGCTGTCTTGTCCGCTAAACTTCAGCGGCACTCACCCCTGCAGCCATAGTCAGGGGTCGCTTGAACTTCCTAGTTGGAAGATAGTAGCATCAAGTTGTTGCCAATAGCAACACAGCCATGTCCCTGTTTCCTTGTGTGTTTTGACCTTTGCCTAATTTGGAGTGAACCAGAGCTGAGATGCCAAAGTCCATTTGGAGAGGAGGAGGAGAAAAAGAGGCAGGCCTTGCACAGGCTACTGGAAGGCAGGCTACTGAGTAGCCCAGTTCCACTCCACTCCGGAGTCCCACAAGGACTTCCTGCAAGCTGAGTGTAGAAAGAGCACCTGCCTTGTTTGGTCAGAACTAGAGGAAGGAGACAAGAGAGTGGGTCATAAAAGGGGGCATTTCTCCTGCACAATGAGAAAAGGGCAGAAAAGTGGGAATGCAAAACCGGGGAAAGAGGCCGGGGTGTCTGCATCTGGGCATCGTGCCACAGGGGCAGGACACAGCTGCTGAGCTTCTGTCGCTCCTGGCATGCCTGCCTGGTGCCAGATTTGTCCCTGCACTGCTGGAGGCCACGAAGGAAGGGCCCCCACCACCTGCCAAAACTAACAGGCAGAGGCTAGCCTTCTTAGAGAGCCTTGGAAGTGATGGGTAGGGCAGGAGGCAGAGATGCCAGGAACAGCACCCAGGGAGGGCTCCCCTGAGCTGAGTCGGGACACCCCAGTTTAGGCACTGGGTTCTTACTGGGGTAAAGCAGCTTTGCCTGCCCTTCCTTAGAAAGGTAAAGATCACACCTGCTTCTCTCCTCCCTGGAATGGTTGCTATGGAGATCCCAGAGGCATTGGCACCTACAACACAGGACCCCAAACGCAAGTGGTGGCTTCACCTGGCCTGCCCCGCAGACACCACTGATGTGGGGTGGGTGGACATGGAGGGATGTCCTTAGTCCCTGAGTGTTTTCATCTGCCTCCTTTTATAAAGGATTTATTTATTTATTCATTCATTCATTCATTTATTTATTCTTGAAGAGAGTGAAAGAGAGGGAAACATCGGTTGGTTGTCTCTCACACGCCCCCTACTGGGGACCTGGCCTGCAACCCAGGCATGTGCCCTGATGGGGAGTGGAAAGGGCAAGCTTTCATTTTGCAGGATGCTGTCCAACCCACTGAGCCACACCAGTCAGGGCCGTCTGCCTCCTTGTTTGAGAGACGGTCAAGAACAAAGGAGAAGGCTCTGAGTCATGAAGGCTGACCCACTCAGCTCTGCCACTGACTAGCTGTGTCCTCATCCGTCCAGTGGGGGACAATGTAACACCTAAGTGGCAAGTGTCGATGAAATGTCTAGTGCGCCTGACACACAATAGCTGCTCAACGTTCAGTCAATAGTGACTATTGGTGACTGTCCTTGGCAGCCAACCTGCGTCCCTGGTAATGAGACCATCCCCACCCTGCCACCACCAAGGTCTGGGTGAGGTGAAGTGGAGGACACTTGAGAAGGAGGGACGGGAGATACCGATGCCACCCCCCTGGGCAGGAATAGGAAATTCAAAGGGCAAGTCCCTGGGAGATCGGGGCATAGGCTGGTCCTTTCAAAGTTAGTTCAGACGGGAGGGCTGGCAACTCACCTTTTGTAAATTAAAAAAATTTTAAAGGAAAACAAGCACTGATAGTTGACAATGTAGGCTAGAGTCAGGTGTCCGAACCTGCCGCGGTCCCTGTGGTGCTTTCGGAGGACAAGACCGCTGGCAGGTTCCACAGGATGGAAACCTGCTTGTTTAGAACACTGTGCTTTAGATAAGGTGGTGAGTGTTGCAAAAGAATCCATTGCTTTTACTTTAATCATAGTTCTTATTCTTAACAAGCTTAAATATATATAAATTATATATTCTTCAACCAGTGAACTTTTTTATTAATTTAATTTTCACCTATTTCTTGACTTTTTTAATTTGGGTGTTATTTTATGAGTGTGGTATCTTACTTTTAAAGAGTGAGAAAAAGAGAATATTTTAGAATCAGATAAAATGCCCTTTAGCTCCCGAGAGAGATCAGAAAACTCAGCAAGGACCCTGGAGTAATACGGACTCCAAGAGCGGGTCTGGCCACTGGGCTCCTACCCCTCCTGGCTGAAGAGTGAGACAGCCAGGGACAGCCAGGGACAACCTCGTACCTCCGGGTGCTGCTCCGCCCAGCTGCGGTGGTCAGCAACGCGTGGCCCAGAGCAGGTTTTTCCATTTCATCTGCCCACCTTGACTCACAAAATTCAATAGAGGATGACTACAGGTCGAGTTGAGAAGTTTTCTTAAAGTGTTCTGTATTAAGTATTTTTCTACCATAGGGGCTGGATTTTTCTGCCAATTCCTACCAGCAGTTCTCACACCTCTAAACTGTCCCAAGCAAGTGGGTCTCTGTCCCCCATTTTAAACATCATGGAAAAAGGAAATGCCACAGAATTCCTTATGCTCTCTCTCAAAATCATTCCTCTTGCTTTCTTCAGTGGAGAAGGGGCACCAGGGGCACCAACCTGCAGAAAAATCACCTGACAATGTTAGACAGGTCCTTGGCTTCTCTCCCTCCTACCAAACCCCCGTTGGGGCCCTCACCTTCCCCCTGGGCTCCTAGGCTCCCAACTGCTCTTCTCAGCAGGTTCCCCCAGAACTGCGATTCTACGTATTCTCATCCCTTATGAACTTGAGCACCATCTACTCCTAGATGACCTCCAGTCTCCTTGGGAGGACAGCTAATCTCTGGGGCCTCCCACTTCTTGTCCACTAAGGTCACTCGGGAGCTCTGTTCAGCAAAACAGCGTTTTTCACTAACAAGGATGAAAACGCTTGTGTGTGGGAACAAGGTGGCCATTTTGAGTCAATGAAGACCAGTGTTCCATATGCACTCGGTTGGGAATTCTAGTTCCTCCAACGGGAGAGGCTAGGTTTCCCCTGTACTGGACAGGAAGCACCAACTTTCTCTAAAAGGCAGCTAGGACAGCAACTGAGTAAGTAAGAAGTGGGGAATTTCAAAGCAAAATATGATAACTAGGATTTTTTCTAATTTTTTCTTTTGAAGTGTAACTACATGTAGCAAAATGAACACATCCAAAATGTACTGTTCAATGAACCTGACAAATGTATGCACCAGTGGAACCCACACCCCACCACCCATGCCCCACTCCCGCCTGTTTGCCCCTCTCCCCCAGAGGCAACTGCAGGGGGATTCCCATCCCCATAGCAGTGAGGATGTGGCCTTGGGGGGCCTCAGGTCTGTGATGCCAGTCTTAGGTCATCTGGGCAAATCAAGAGAATCTCAGTGATGCCAGTCTTAGGTCATCTGGGCAAATCAAGAGAATCTCAGCAGCAGCTCAAATGTCTTTACCTGCCTTAGCATTGAAAGGGGTCCTGCCTGAGCCCTTAGGGCTTGGCTCTGCTGCTCCCAATGTGCCACCTGACCCCAGGGCTACTCTCTGAGCCACGGTCCTCCTCCCAGCCAAACAGTGTAGCATCAATCTCCCAGGTAAGTGACGGCAGGGCTTGGTAACCCGGATGGTGCATGTTTGTTGATTAGTACCTGCAGGTGCGATGCAGATAGCCACGGCATGTCGATCAGCATGGTGATTTTCCTTAAAGCACTGCCCAAAAGGGAGCTATTCCTTTTGTACCTTTCCTTTTTGAAACAAAGGATTCCATGACCACCTTCTTGCAGGCTTCTAGCCGTCAAGAATGGCCACAGAGCTAAAATGATTAGCCAGGGTGGGAATTGAACATGTGAGTGTTTGTGAGCCCAGCACTGAGCCCGTGGTCCATGAAACAGAAAGATCCCAGATTCCATTGGATTAAACTTGGCCAAAGGTCTCAAAGGGGAAAAGCGCTTTGTCTGTAGGCAAAGCTTTGATGTCCCTGGAATGTACCTTCTGCAGCTCAGTCCTCAATCACCGTATATTTTTTCGCTTGGACAAAGGCCGCCTGCTAATAGCATTTTCCACCACCCTCAGCTGCTTCACTTAGCCAGGCCAAGGCCTCCGTCTGAGCCAGCTGCAGCTCCCTGGCACCACGGCTGGTTCCCTGCTGACCGGCACTGGGATCATCACACATCCAGACCCTGAAAAAACAGCTTCCCCTGTAACTGTGCTAGACGGCAGGCAGAGGCAAAGGCAGGGTTACTCCTTCTCTTACTAGGTGTTTCCTACAGAATCACACAAACTGGAGGCAGAGAGAGGGAAAGATGGGGGAAGAGTCCTAGAGGACGTGAGCAGTTCTCCACTCTGGGCAGGACAGCTAGTTTGGGGGGCTCCCCGTAAGCCCCTGGCAGTAGAGACCTTGGGGCAGCTCATCTCTGAACACAGGTGGCCTCTGCTATTAGATGGCACTCGGATCCCTGGAAACTACAGGAATCTCAGCTCTTCAGAAGGGCAGCAGCTGCTGAGCCAGAGTGATTGCAGGATTTCTGCCCTGAAGCCCAAGGCCAGGCATCTACCCCTGCCTGCACCCTGCATGAGTAACCACCTTCCAGCCTCACCCGGGAGGTCACTGCATAGAAGACAGATTGCAGCTGGGCTGAACTGAGCCCCCACCACCACCACCACCAGCCAACCGAACCCTTGAGACCTCCTTTAGAATCGACTGGCATTTGGTAAATGCGTGAGCACAGGAGTTGGGGAAGGCAGAGAGAAGTGCCAGAGAGCACCACCTGGACTGCTGAGAGGGTGGGACAACCTCGGGGCCTGTTCTCTGGGCTGGTCATCGGCAGCCCCCGCCCCAACCCCTGAAGTCTGAAGAAATAGAAGCAGCAGAGGGGAGAGGGGAGGGGCAGGACTGATGGGCTGGCCGCTGGTCCTCCTCTGAGCCAAGGCAGTGAGGCTGAGCTCCAGGATTTAGGCAGGAAGAGATTAATTAGAGCCTCCAAGCCCAGCCCACTCTACAGAACTGGGAGGTATGGAGGATGGAGGAACCTCAGGGTCAAATTCAGCTGAAACAAACAGTCACACAAATCTCCAGAAATGGAGCCTCCAGTCTCCCTCACCCCACAGCCCCCTCTCCAGCCCAAATGACCTCACTAATGAGGAAGAAGCTGTAATGAGGGCTTGGATGCCTGGTAAGCCTCACCTTCTTTGTCTCTGGGCTTTTAACATACCATTGGACAGACTGTTATGCAGAAGTATTAGTGATTTTTTTCTTCACATTCACCAGCTGAATCAGAGCCCCAAATGCTGTGGATGGCAAGACTGGAATCTATGTATTTGGGGACATAATGTGTAATTTGTGGGCCTGGGGGAGGAGGGGTGGCAGTGCCAGGGGAAGGGGAGCTGGCATTTGGTGTGTGGTCACCGCCGCGGCGAGGCTCACCGAGGGGAAAGTGAAAGTCCTTGGTGCCTTTCCTCGGAGCCACGTTGGACACTGGCACCCGGGGTGGAGGAGGTTTGTCAGAGCTCTGGGCCACGGGGTCCCTGGACTCATCAGCACCACATTTCCCCAGAGAGGACCCCTGCAACACACACACACACACACACACACACAGACACGCACGCACAGCCATGCTTTCTGCCTTCAGGCCTGCTTTGAGAAGGCACGGTCCCAGGTGAGCCCACTGAATGACAAACGCCTGGAGCGCCGTCTAAGAAAGGACAGTCAAGGACAGTGCCAGCTGAGTGTACCCGGGAATCCGGGGCTGGCGGAGCCCTTGAAGGTCAGCCTCTGCCCTCTGCGAGCTCCCGAGGCACCCAGCCCACTCTCCACGGAGGAGTGGCTGCCCTGCTTTTCATGATTGGCAAAGACTGGCACTGCCACCCTCTAGGAATTTTTTTTAATCTGATTTAAAAATCCTCAGCTTAGTATAAATGTATCCTGCTGCAGGCTATGTTTAGTATATTTGGAGATTTGGATGAGGTTGGTGAAGGGGAGTTTGTGTGTGTATGTGTGTGTGTGTGTGTGTTTTAAGGTGGGGAGAAAAAAATGAAGTTTGTTTCACTCGTGAAAACGAGGGGTGAAAGAAAGTGATGAGGTGAAAAAAAGAAAGAAAGGGGGGAAAAAGAGCGGGAGGAGGAAGACACAGACTTTCCGGCCGCCCCTGAGAGCAGATCCAGGTCTGGACAAGCTCCAGCCATGCCATCAGAATTCTCAGAGTCGTGCGGCCACATCCGTCCATGGAGCGCTAAGCCAGATGACACGTTGTCCTGCATCCCGCAAAGGCACAGCCCATGTCGTCCGTTTGTTAGATACGCCCATTATCCATCAATTCATCAATCAGCAGGTTTATTGAGTACCCCACCAGGCTTCACAAGCCTGATCAATTTTTTTAATTACATCCAGCCTACAGGCGGCCAAGCCCAGTAAACAAGCTGAGGCCTCACACCCCACTTGGAAATGAACATGAGGAACTGCTGGCCCTTGTAAACACGGCCGCCCACACTGCCGAGCCACCGTGCGCTGCCCTTTGCAGATAGCAGGGGTGTCACTGACCCCCTGTCAATAATAGGATGGGTTCTGAGTGTTTTCTCAGACACAGTGACCCAGCCACCCTCCCCACTACCCGCCCCCCCCATCCGATGCTGTGGATTTCTGAAGAGGGGCTGGGAAATGGACACAGTTACCTCCTCCCAGGCATGTGAACACTTGGCCTCTCTCCGGCCCTCTGTCCCTCATGCACCAGGCCTGCAAGTCCAGGTCATTGTCTTCTCAGGAAGAACTGCTACGTGGGCGGTAAGGGAAAGGCATGTAGCATTCCTGACATGGAGGCCCTGGGCGTCGCAGAGCGACAACAGCCAAGAGCATAGGAGATGGCAGGAGCGCACTGTCCGGGGCCCACGGTGGCAGCCGTTCACCTGTTTCCTGACCCCCGGTGAATCCCACTTTCGTTGTCTAGAACTGGGTCATCAAGAGGACCCGAAGCCCGAGCATCTCTCCTGCATTTCAAACAGGACTCCTGGGTCTTCTGCTAGTTCATTCATTAGTGTCTCATCACCCAGATGCTTAGCCAGCATCTATTTGGGTCAGCCCACCCTCCCTGATCTTGCTACTCCCAATCCGCCTTTTCCTTCCCCGGTTGAATAAAATCGAGTTCAGGGACAGCCCACAGGCATTAAGAGCCGCTCTACCTGAGAGCTGAAATGCCTGGTGTGAGGTGAGTAAAATTCCCACACCCCCAAAAGAGTACAAGCCGCCCGCCCTCCCTCCCTCACCTGCCCCAGACTCCTGGTTCCCACTGTCTCCAGCTTGTGGTCCCAAACCCAGAGATCAAAGGGGTCAGTTTGCTAAGTCGTTTGGCCTCCATGGCTCATGCCACAATTAATCACCTACCTGGTTCTCTGTCTCTGTCCCTCTGTGTGTGTGTGCACCTGTGCGTGCCTCTCTGTCACCTGTCTCTGCAGGGAAAGTCGCTGGCGGGCAAGCGCCTCACGGGACTGATGCAGTCCTCCTGACCGTTCCCACCACAGGCCCGGGGCCAGGGCCCGAGGACCTCGAGGGCAGGAGGCGGCGCTCCACATCCGTGGACAGAGTGTCCTTACGGGGCGATTCGGTCACTGTGAAAGAGAAAGAGTGAGGGCAATGGAGGGCGACCACGGGGAGACCCGGTGGGTGAACAGGGGACCTGAGAGAAAGGCCACAGAGCCGGGGGTCGGCCCAGCAGAGGCCCCTGTTTACAACCCTCCCGTGCTTGTACAGTTGTACGCCGACACCCCATTTTCTAAGAGGTCCTCATTCCTAACTCATGCAGAGGAGAACATCTTGTGGGATGTTGTGACTGTCACTTGAGATATATTCTCATCATCACTCCTCTCACTGTCTGGGGGATGATGCCATCCAGCAAACAAGAGAAGGACCAGCTGGCCCTGAGCACAGCCTGTGTTACGTCCCCTCCCCCACTGTCTCTGGTGCACCCGCAGCACCCACCATAGTTAATAGCCACTGTGTCCCCATCGCTTCCTGCCTCCCTCATCTTTGTGGCCACCTGCCCTCACATGGCCCGTCCCAGTCACGTGGTCCTCAGCACTGAGTGACCTCGGGGTTGGCTGCACTGCAAGTTCTTTCAACCCCGTTAGATATGCCCATGATCCATCAATTCATCCACCCGCAGACTCCTGACGAGGTGCCCACGGGCGTGCTGCTGCCCTCTGGTTTTGACAAATGTCTCAAGGGTCCAACACCAGAAGAAACACCAGTGTAGATGAAAGAGCTCGTGGTATAACCAATTCTGACCATCTCTTTTTAAAAATTCATGATTTCTTAATTTATTGCTTTTGCCCCTTTTCCTTGGTTTGTTCCCTAATGTTTTACTCAAAATAAACATGGCCATGAACTCAGGGGCCCTTGGGGTCCTCTCCTCCAGCAGCCCCAGGTGGAAGCCGGGAGGGTTCCCAGCACGGGGGGTGTGGGATCACAGGGCTGGCAGCCCCCACAGGATGGGCATGGCCAGGCTCCTGCTGGGCCAGGTCCCAGTGCTGTGTGAAGCTGGAGGAGACTCTGCTACAGAGCCTAGGCATCCAGGGGAAAAGCGGACGGAAGGCAACACCTGCAAAAAACCTGCAAAAGACCCACTATACTCCCTTTGTGTGTGTGTCAAAACGCCCACCTGTCCACTTGGACGTGAGATAATGTATGTAGGGCACTGAATCAGGCGACTGGCACATAGTAGGTCCTTAGCAAATGGTACCCATCGCTCTCATCATTGTCATCACCATGTGACTCCCAGGGGCCCACAGACAGAGCAGTGTTAAGCAACGTGGTTTTGAATTCAGACACTGACTCCCCACCTGCTATGACTGTCCTCCTTTGATCTATTTTTGGCCGCAGGTGAGAAATCTCCCTGGGGACCATATAAACAGCAAACACAGAAGCAAAACATCGATCACTGGTACTTCTTCACTCCTTAGGCAAATGCAGCACTGGCTGCCAAAGGCACATGTGCTCCTTTGCAGACCCTGCCTCCTGGGTACTCCCATGACCACCCATCCAGCCCCCCACCCTAAGCCATATGGTACGTCCGATGCTACCGAGCCCTGTCCCCAGGGCCCCAGCCATTCAGTAATCACAGCGGAGCCGCTGTGGGCTTTAGAAGTCTTGGTTAGGGTTATACCCTTGTAGGTTCTTGACCACCATGCCTCAGTTTCCCAACTTGCAATAGTTGCTCTCTCTGTGAAGTACAAACTAGAATGACACATGCTGAGTCCTCAGAGTGTCTCCAAAGGTGGTGTTATAGACCCAGATTCCATACGACCTCAGCTCAGAGCCTGGCACCTGGCAGGCATGAGATGATGACTAAAATGAAGTCCTGCCCCCATGTCGCAGGGTCTTTTGAGCCCTCCTCGCCTCCTCCACCCCCCCCCTTTTTTGTCTTGTTTCACATAGACGTCCTGTTTCAGAACCAAATCGCAGCTAGAGTTCCTCTGCACCCAACACGGCCCAAAGGAGGTTCCTCTCTGCTAAGGGTCCCCAGGCTGTGCTGACTTCAAAGCATAGGGTATGTGGACAAAGGAAGTTCCAGAATAGCAGGGGTCTCTCTGCCATCCATTATCCAGGGCAAGGGCCCAGATGCCTCCTGCTCTCCCCCCGTTAGCTGCAGACAGGACAGGGCTGGCATCCCCCAGCCCTGTCCCTCGCCCTGGACTGCTGTTCCTGAGTGAGGCTGGC